GTGTGTGCGCTACTGACGCCCACCTCGTGTGGGGAGTGGACACGGATGTGGTCGTTGACACCGAGGGCAGGCCTATGGTGTTGGGCCACGAGGGGGCCGGTGTGGTCGAGTCGGTGGGCGAAGGGGTTAAGAGTGTGGCACCGGGCGATAAAGTGGTACTAATGTGGATGCCCGAGTGCTCCCGGTGCGATTTGTGCGCAAATCCCAAAACTAATTTCTGTTTGTCGGGGAACCCGGCGTCCAATTCGGTGCGGGTGGCCAGGGATGCCTATATGAAAGTTAATGGCAAACCAGTGCTTCAGTTTTGTATGTATTCAGTATAATTAGCTAGCTTAAAATTAAAAATTTATTGTGACTAGTATATTTATAAATTCTAATTTTAATATTTTAAATTATCTAGTAAATAATTAATGAGTATTAAACTATTAAAATTACAAGCCTTTTTTAAATTGCATATTATTAATATTTAAATAATTATTAGTATTAAAAACATTTAATGTTTAATACTTCGGACACCAATTATAAATTATTTATACTTTCATTATTAAAACATATAATTATTACTGTAGTTATTTACAGTTTATTTGAATAATATTTATTAAAATGCTTTTATTAAACTATATTTTCAAATAGCTGGAACAGGTACATTTTCACAGTACACTGTAGTCCCCGAGCCGCAAATAGCCAAAGTAAGTTTTATAAAATAATTTCATAATTTCTAAAATTTTAATATAATTAATATAAGATATTATCTAATCCAGGTGAATCCAAAAGCAAATCTGGGTAACATTTGCATAATAGGTTGTGCGGTGGGCACTGGATATGCGAGTGCGACAAACATAGCAAAAGTACACAAAGGCTCCAAATGTGTCATATGGGGGATGGGAGCCATAGGGTTGTCAGTGGTGTTGGGCTGTAAGGATGCCGGCGCTCAAGAGATTATATGCATTGATAGGAATGACCACAAAGGAGTAATTGCTAAGCAATTAGGTGCCACTAGGTTCATTAATCCGAAAACCAGTAGTAAGCAATTTAGATAAGATTTAGTTTTATATAAAAATAAAGTAATAATTAAGCATACAAAATAATTTTAAATTTATAATAAATATTTTTATTTGTAATTTTAGATTACAGTTTAGTAATGTAGGTTATTTAAAATTCAAATTAATATACAGTATTATACTACACATTATAATATACTGTACGTTTCAATTAAAAATTATTTTATAATTTATTTATTTATCAAGGTCAAAGTGTTGATGAGATACTGAAAGGTTACGGTGGAGTGGATTATGCATTTGATTGTATCGGAAATATAGACGTGATTAACAGTTGTATTCAATCGCTTAGCACCTGGGGATTTCTAGTCTTAATCGGTAACATACAACCTCAATTAAATTAACTATACATAAAAACTATTTAATTTTAAACACCTATCATAGGTTTACCCGATAGAGGTCAGAGTGTGAGCATACCGGCTGGTAAATTACTACAGGGGGCGCATGTGTCGGGCGGCCATTTTGGTAACGCAAAGCCCCGGGAGCTTAATCAGCGGTTGGTTGATCTGCACTGTAGCGCACGGCTACCCATTGAGCCCATGATTACCCAACGTTTGCATTTAAATAACATTAACAAAGCGTTTGACGACTTGAGAGCCGGAAAGACTATTCGCACAGTCATTGATTTTGAATGAAATAACTTTTACTAACTTTAACAACCTTATTATAAATATTTTTTATCAACTTAGAATTTAATAGTTTTTATACTAATATGAAATATACGATTTGAGTTTAATTTTATATTATATTTTTAATATTAAGAATTTGCCAAAACTATAATAAAAATAATTAAAAATTTTAATTCACATTATAATATAATAAATACTATATTTTGAATATTTACAATTATTTTAATGAAAACTGTAATCATATCTTGAAATACAAATTTACATTGATCAAAAATAGTATTTTATAAATACGGTACTAGGCGTTTAAATCCAATATTTATTTTCAAAATAAATTTTTTCGTATATAATTAAACTACATCATACTATATATAAAATTAAAAGTAATTTAAAAACCCCTTGCACACTGTTTGACTCTGACTTTGAAGCAAGCTAAAACTTTGTTGAGGTGCTACCAGTACACTAAAATCTAATTTATCTGTGATGAGCATGGTTGCTTCACCCTGATCAGAAGTAATCGTAGACTTGGATATAATTGAATTACATTTCTTGAGGTAATTAGTTTTAGGTATGTGGTATTTAAAGTAGACAAAATTGCCTTGCTGGGGTCCACTGGCCACTTGGTATAAGGACTCCCTTTCCACGTTTACTGTAAATAGGTAATCTTATAATTCTATTTTCACCTTGATATATTTTAATGAATGTAATTATAAAATACTATACATATAGGAAATATATTTATAATTAAAGGTTTCTACTTTTAATAAAATAAAAAATCATGATAATACTCGCTAGTAATATTTATTTGAAATACTTATTAACAATAAGCCTAGCTAACTATGATTATATTAAATAAACTTTAATGTATAGTAAAAATATAAATTTATATTTGTCTATATATTAGGAGTCCTTTGTATATTATTTAAGTGACAATTAAAATTTAATAATATGAACTAGTACATACGTCCAACATCCAGGAAAGTTGATTGCAAATTGGTTATAGCATTGACAAGCTTTTGTCCATTAGGCATGACTTGAACTAAGTAGGAACTGCCTATTGCTTGTGTAGTGCCCAGGTCACAATTATAATCCAGTGAGAATTGAGCTACTACAGTATAGTTAGCCACATTTTGACCCTGACACTGGTCAAATACGCCAATTATTAAGAAATTAAGCATCGGGTCTATGATAACAATTAAAACTTAATCCATAAATAATGTTAACAGGCTAATTAATGTTAAAATAAATTACCTGAATCTTGTCCATTACTCGCGGTAATTAAGTCTGTAATTAAGATTTGAAATAAATATAATATATGTTTACTTTAATAATTGTAATTTGCTAGTTCATATTATAAAAACATACAATATTTTGTCATGATTGTTAAAATAAATATAAATATTTTAAAACTCATATTTGGAAACAAATATTAGTAAACAAAATATATAATACAAGCAAAAATAAACAAAATTTTTGTGCAATAAGTTATATTTATAACCCATATGTGTTAAATAACTTAAAAATTATGAAAGTGTTGATAAGATATATTTTAACATTTTTAGATCATAATTTATCTAATATATAATAACTGTATATAAATAATATAATTCATTATCAATATTTTAATTAACATAATGATAAATAATTGGCGATTAGTAAAATTGTTGACAAATATAATAATATATTTTATGAATATTCTTATTTTTGTTTTTACAATTTATCTAAAGTTTTTAATATTATCAATTAGATATTATTAGATAGTAATTATATATATACAATTGTTATAGATTTTATGATAATTTTTTTAAAGTAAATATTTTGTAAAATCTATATTATTGTCATAAAAAAGTATTAAACAGAAATATTTACATAATCTAATTTTCACTAAAAGTATTGCAATTATTATTTTAGATATTAGGGTTGATAACAAAAATTTCATTAGAAAAATAAACTTGTTATTTGTACACCTTTATCATAATGTTTTTAATATTTATTTTGCAAAGTTTAATGTATTGAGGCGTATATAACAAGCTATAATAAATTATTTAGTTTTAAAAATAATATTAATTAAATTTGCAATAGTTTTTATTTTAAAATGAGCAGGCAAACTGAATGTGGGTTTAAGCTGAAAAAGTGGGCAGTATTTTGTGTGGCATTGATCGGGGTTATTTTTGGTCTACTATTATTGTTTTTTGCTTCAATTTTAATGTTTGCTGCAGACTTAAAGGGAAAGGTATGTTATTTTTCAAATTTAAAAACTTTTATAAAGTATTAAGAATTTATTACCGTAAACACAATCATGTAACACATTAAATTACCTAGATACAAATTATCGGGACGTGCATTGGATTTGGTATAATCAGTATAATCATTAATTCCGTTGGACTGGTAGGGGTCGTTCAAAAAAGTTTTGGATTATCCTTAGCTTATGCTGTATTTAACACCTTGGGCACATTGACCACAATACCCTTGGTGATTTGCGTGGACATTATTCATTCAATATCATTGGCAATGGGAGTTATTATTACTATTATATGCTATATGTTTGCGTATGATTGTTATGTAATTAGCAAAAGTAATAGTATCAGTGATGCATCAACTGTAGTTTGCCCTGATAATATTCAAATGCAACAAGTTAATTATGATAAAAGTAGCATTAGAAATGTATAGTAAATATTATTGTGTTTTTACTACGTTAAATTCATTAAACATTTTATTAAATAATTATTTTTCAAATACAATAATAATTATAAGCAAGCAATGAACGGCATTAATAAAATTGAATGTTTGTGGTTTTTTACTTTTAAGTGCAAGTTAACTTGTTACATTTCAATAAATAAACACAGAAAGTTAACAATATACAATACAATAGAATATTATAATATAATATATTATATATTAAGATTGTTTTACATTTATTAATTATAGTATTATAGTAATTAAAGTAAAATAAGTAATATATTTAATGAACTCAAAATTAGCGCGCCTTAGATATAGCGTAACGGTATTGCCCATTGAGACACACGCTATACGTGTATCTCATATAAACAATACCTACCAGCTCACTTTAGTGCGCACGCCTATTGCATAACGCTATTTGGATTATGCATGTCATTGCCCTGTGAATGCAATGTGTCAAAAAATATTAAAGTGCACTAACTAATCACAATCGCTAAGTGCACTAGCACAAATAATCACTGAAAAATGATTAATATTAATTAACTGGGTCCCAATAACAGGTATGTACAACATTGTGTTTTTTGTTAATTTAATTGTTTTGGGACGCACTTTATATCAAAATATCAAAAATATTCAACTTGTTTAGACGTGAAGGTCACATATTTTTGTAAACAAAATATATTGACTGCCTGTGTATTCAATGCAATACAGTGTATTGAATACACAAATCAGTACTAGTTACGTGAGGCGGGTCATTTGAACAACCTAATGTACTATTCAAAAAATTAATATAATAACTTTAATAACTTTCTTATTATTGCTCATAATTTTTTTTGGTGCATTTTACGTTAAAAACGGATATTTATTTTGCATTGAAAGCTGTAAATATAACTTTATCAATGCTTTTATAGTTCAACAAATTAATTATTACTGTTAAAAGTAGTTAAAACAATATTTACAGTTTATAAGTTTAATAATTTTTTATTAATATTTTTGCATTTATTTATTTGTATAAATATCATTAGTGTGTTTAAATTAGTGTGAAAATAAGGGGATTTTTGAAAAACTATCTTATCTGATAATTTATTTGCACTATTAAATAAATGTTTTGAGCCAGACTAATTAATATTAATTATTTTATTATAGATACTAGATTAAAGATGTCAGAATGTGTGAATGAGGAGTTATTACAATTAATTAAAGACAAAGGTTACTTGGATTTATTTGCGCAAGCTGATTACATGGATATATTATCATATATGGACTCTAACGTGTTTCACGATCTTGTTAATGATTGGCCTAAATATGACGATCTGGCTATTATGATAATAGGGTCATCACCAAAAAGAGATTTTCCAACTACCGGTGCCTTTGTTAGTAACGCAAGTGAATATAAAATTGTATATAATATACCAAATGCGATGATAAACATTAAAGAAGTAGTGGAAAAAGTTTATGGGCGACTCGAACCACATAACACTGACTACAATGCGATACATGCCAAACACGACCATGGTATAATGTTCATCAATGTGGTTCCCACAGAAGCTGGTGGTCCTTTATTCATAGCCAAATTTATAATCGGTTTCATAAATAGAATTTTAGCCAGCAAAGGTGCTGAAAATAAAATGTTAGCAATATTAGACATGAGACTACCCGCGCACAGTCATGTCGATGAAATACGGAATAGATATCAAAAAGAAAATTACGGAAAAAATAATGATATTGAATTCAAAATTGCAACAACAAAACATAAGGTTACTCGCCTAGATCACCCAACATATTGGATTTGGTCGGACATAAAGTATGCAATAAATGAAATTAGAAAATTAGAAGATTTTCCCGAAATTGGTTGTATTTACCGCAAAAAAGAACATTGTGGTAAGCTCGTTTATTTATAAATATAAGAATGCGCTTATTTATTTATTTTTAATTATTTTAACTAGCCAATATTCCTGACAATGAACTCCGAGATGAAGTTGATTGTGGTAAGCTCGTTTATTTATAAATATAATAATGCGCTTATTTATTTTTAATTATTTTAACCAGCTCATATTCCTGACAATGAACTCCGAGATCAAATGGAGATGCTCACATTGAAGTAATCAATAATTGTAAAAATCACCTTATTCTCAATTTATTTAAAATATTTGTGAATTTTGTTATTTCTAAATTATACAATATTTTAATAGAAAATAAATTCAATATTTAATCAATAAAACTGACTGTAAAATTAAAAATAAAATCTAAAAGTATTTTCTAAAAATATATATATTCAATATTTTAAATATAAAATCTATATATGCTATCACCCTATTAAAATATCAACTTTATAACCTGCTTTTA